AGAGAACTTGGCAAAACACTGGTCTTGCCATCTACTAGCTCTGTGATGATGGCAAGTTACTTAACCTCTCTGAGTCCCAACTTCTTATATGGAAAATGGAGATCATAAGCTCTACCCTAACCGGAGTGTTGAAAATTAAATATTATAGCTTGTATAAAGCTCCTGGAACACTCCAGGTGCTTCTAAAATATAAGTTCCCTTGCCTTCAATAAAGCAGAGAGAACAAAATGGATAACCTTTTGTCTAGCGGAAAGAATACTGGGGTTAATTTAAGTTTCAAAAGAAATGATCTTCCAGGACAAGTCCACTCATGTTGCCCTGAGTCGCAGGAAAGATCAGCTGGCTGTTCTGTCTGCATCATGCTGGCATTATTTACACGTTTCAGATTGAACCAGGAAATGTGGTAATAACGCAGTTTAGCAAACACAACATTACATCTGCTGTTCTTACCAAACTGGCTAGGAAGAGTAACACTGGTTCATTCACAGAGAGGACTGCTATCACATGTGCTCACATTTTTACTTAACATGGGGGGCTTCCAATTTACAGAAGGAAACGTGCAATCGAACGCGTGGTGGCCGTAGGCATAATGAAATCCATGAACAAGATAATTGTGGCGAAATACACATGTTTACAGTCCTACAGCTGGAAAAGAATGGGTATTACTTCTCATTAAAAACTTAAAAAAAATTCAGAAACGTACATATAATGCACATGATTCAGGGTCTACATTATGAGCAAGCATGCAGCACCATATAAAAGAAAAAATGAAAGTGGGGAATTTATTGAATCCAGAATTCAAAGAGCATGAGTATTCTTTGTTTTGTTACAGACTATGGAGAAACAGTGGCCCTCATGGTAAGAAAAATAACAATGACAAGCTCCAAGTTTGTAATGTAAAAATGTATACTAACATATTTAAGGATGTATGCAAGATCACCATTTTTTCATTATTCGTGTGTTTATAAAATGTCAGCGGAATTGAGTCTTTTGGTTAAGTTTTGTAAACAGTTGAGTTAAGAACAAACAACATCGCTGTTTTTGCCACATGACAGTTCTTTCTTTAAAACAACACAATACAACCAAAAACAAACCAGGAGGCCAGTCTCTTCTTCGTACTGCCTTCCTCACGTGTTCTGTGAGTACAGCGCTGTAGGTGCAATAGACTAACCAGCCTTGACCCTCTGGGAGAGAATGAACACCATCAAAATGAATTTACAACGGAGAACTAATTATATAATCAGTATGTTACTTTAAATCTTTCCTGCATGATCTGATTTAAGAAAGAAAAAAAAAAAAAAAACTCTCATTTCTCTATTAATTACCTAAGCAAAATAAGACAGTCCCGAAAGTTGACCACATCAGAAAAAATTCTTTTGACGTACTTAAATATTAGGTAGTGTTTGTCACAGAATGTGCAGTCCCCAAAGGGGTAAATGCAAAATGTCTCACTCAAGCTCCTCTCAGGAATGTCAGCCCTCTCAACTAAAGAGACAAAAAATGTTACTGACGACTTTAAACAAGAACATGTTTGGTTTCTCTTTCATCCCACTGAATATTACAAGTCTGCAAGTCGAAAACTTTGAAGACTTATAAACATCAGAAATCTGAGTGACACAAAAACCTCTCAGCATCTGTCATAACAAAGAAAAATAAGCCATATTTTTGATATAGGAGGTTCAAAATTGTTCTTTGGGAATCCTGGCTTTGAGCACTGGGAACTGTCTTCAGGACTTCTTCCCATAAGATGTGGTGCACTCACACACACGCACGCATGCGCGTGTGCACACACACTCCCACACACACCAAGTCAATTCTATGGTGAATGCTATTAAAATGGGGGAAAAGCCTGTACATTTTTAGGAGAGTAATTCCTTCTCCAGCAGAACTTTTGCTTTGGGAGGAAATGAGTCTGAAGGAGAGTACTTGGATCTTGAATCAATATCATTTCTAAGTGATTTTACACGGTTCTAACTTCCTGTCCATTATATAAGTTGCTTACATCTGCAATGGTATTTACCGACACAGTGTTTGGTTTACACCAGGTATCAAATCTGGTATCAAACAAGAGGCCTGAAAAACAAAAGGAATCACCAACAAAAGGGAGATACAGCTAAAACACAATTGCAACATTGGAAAGGGATTAGAAAAAAATATTATTTGGAGCTCCTCTTAATCCCTGGGAAGACTGATTATTTAACAGAATGTATTGCCACCACAACGTAAGCAGGGCTAAAGGTTTTCTAGAACACTTGTAGATAAATAAACAATGAACTCCCGTTGTTGCTGATTTAGCTGTGTATGTCCTTTATTTTTCTCCAGGGTGGGGCTGGGTTGGGAGGGGGCAGGGGTTATCAAAGGATGTAACAGGTAATTCTGATTACCCTAAGACTTAATCCGAGCATCACCTACTTTTAGCAATGTTACATTCACCCAGGCATTTCCTCCCCACATACCCAACAGTGTCCATGTCTTGATTAAAGTACCAATCACGCTGCACCATGATGGTTTCACTATTTTACTATGAACCTTGTTTAAGTTTGTATTCTTGTACCCATAGACTCTCTGATACAGAGTAAACTCTCGATAAATGTTGCCAATAATAATGTGGAAAATACACCAAGGAATTAATGGCGTGTCCTTCATGACAATGTGGTATCGTTAATAATAAACAGGATCTAGGCCAAAAAAACTTGGTACTGATACTATCCTGGCTATTTCAGCTATGGTATTTAATTTTTCTTAATCCTGGTTTGCTCACTTGTAGATGGGGAAAAGAATATCAAATTTAATGATTTGTTGTAATAAGTACTGAATGACCATGTATAAAAGCAGACTTCAAACTGTACACACTCTACAAATATTAATACTGTATTATTATAAATTTAATTATTTAAATAGTTCTTTCTCAAATGGTCTTACTTTAAAATGTCAACTAAAACCAGTAGAATAGATTCTGATTCATGGCAACCTTGTTTCAATTATTATTTAATTTAAATGGTGACTGTTCCCTTGAAGAAAAAAAAATGTTGTCCTCACCAGCCTACCCTTTATCTTATACATTTAAATAATCAATGGATACGTGGGACTTAGAGTGAACCACATTGAAATAGAGGAAATAGGAAAGTCAAGAGTATAGCTACTATCCTCAAAATAAAAAAATACAACGACTTGTGAAGACTGGGATAATATATCCAGAGTGTTAAGCGTGTACTAGTGTGGCATAATAATTTTAGGCAATGGGAAATTAAATATCTAGACATAGCACAGACCGACTATTCTGTTACTGCACATTAGCTAATAGAAGAATAGATAATTCATCTAATTTATAGCTTGGTACAGAGTTGCTGGGTGGTGCAAACAATTAACACACTGGGCTGCTAACTGAAAGGTTGGAGGTCTGAGCCCATTCAGAGGCACCTGGAAAGAAAAGCCGGGCAATCTACTTCAAAAAAATTGCCACTGAAAATCCTATGGAGCACAGTTCTACTCTGACACAGATGGGGTTGCCACGAGTCAGAATCAACTTGCTGGCGACTTTTTTTTTCTTAAATAGTCTGGTGTTATGGATTGACTTCTGTCCTCAAAAATGTGCATCAACTTGGCTACGCCATGATTCCCAGTATTGTATGACTGTCCACCATTTTGTCATCTGATGTGATTTTCTAATGTGTTCTAAATCCTCTATGATGTTAATGAGGCAGGATTAGAGGCAGTTATGTTAATGAGGCAGGACTCAATCTACAAGATTTGGTTGTATCTTAAGTCATTCTCTTTTGAGATATGAAAGAGAGCTGCAAGCAGAGAGATAGGGGACCTCCTACCACCAAGAATGAAGAATCAGGAGGAATGTACATCCTTTGGACCCAGAGTCCCTGTGCTAAGAAGCTCCTAGACCGGGGGGAGGATTGATGACAAGGACCTTCCCCGAGAGCCAACAGAGAGAGTAACCTTCCCCTGGAGCTGGCATCCTGAATTTGGACTTCTAGCCTCCTAGACTGTGAGAAAATAAATTTCTCTTTGTTAAAGCCATCCACTTGTAGTATTTCTGTTATAGCAGCACTAGATAAATAAGACATCTGGTATACCATATTTACAATATCTGGAAGTCACATAAGTATAATCTTACAATAGAAATTGCAAAGATCTAAGAATACTAGGAATATTAGTGAGCCTGATCATAAGTAGTATGCTCTGAGTAATGCTCCAAATGGCCAGATTAATAGCATTTTTGAGTTATTTCTCAAAGCCAAAACATTTTTAAGAAAAGAGGTTTGATTTTCTTAAAAGAAAATTTGAGCAGTTTGATGCATCCGTGAAAGGAAATGGAGAAGACAACCCCTTCTCATTCAAAATATGCACAAACTGATAATTAAGAATTGGCTGGAATCCACTTGACTATTAAAGTCTTCAAAGTAAGATGGTATGGTAGACATGTTAGCAATTAAATCAATTCATCACTAAAATGCATATTAAATCAAATTAAAAGTAGTTAAACTGGATTGACCATTTACTTTTATTCCCTTGAAAATTATCCATAAACAGGTCGTCTACAATATGGGTTGTACATAGATTATATATGCCCTGAATAATGTGTGTGTATACAATTGTTAATCTTTCAAAGATACTCTTTGGCTTTTTATTTTTTTTAAAAAATACCACACTTCATCATCATTGAAAGTACCACTGCTTATGTAATGGTTCAGAAAAATCATGAATCAAAACAATTTACTGTATTGTGGACATTCTTAAAGGACCCTGGTGGCACAGTGGTTAAGCACTCAGATGCTAACTGAAAGGTTGGCAGTTCCAACACACTAGCCACTCCATGGGAGAAGGATGTGGCAGTCTGCTTCGGTAAAGATTATAGCCTTGGAAACCCTACGGGACAGTTCTACTCTGTCCTACAAGGTTGCTATGGGTCAGAATCAACTGGAAGGCAATGGGTTATGGCAATTCTTAAGAAGGCACAATGAAATCATAAGCAAAACTACTCTCACTATTAGACTGTAAGAAGATTTCCTCCCAGGACAACAATCTTCCCTGGTTGAGATACTATAGATGATCTTCTCTCTCTGGAACAAGAAAACACAAGGATGAGACATGGAAGACCTACTATGCATCTAAAGAACTATGCAGATTAATTTGCAGCAAGAATTCTTTCTAAACAGATATGCCACATGTTTCTCCTCTAAGAAGACTGCCTCGGTAATGATGAGTGGAGTAATCAGTTTGGAGGAAGAAAATAATTTTAAATGCTGAAATTGATGATTTACAATGTGCTTAAATTTTAATGATGGCATCCTAATTTGTGAACACAGGATACAGATATGCTATTCATTTGCATCCTTTCATTACAAAATGTTCCCCAATCAATCAACCAAAGATGTATTAGATGTGTTTCTTGTTTTCTTAAGGGAAAATATCCATATCTATTTTTTATCCATAATTGATATGAAAGGGTGATCTTTTTTTTCCCCAAAAGCAGTCAGGCGATAGAGACCTAAAGGATGATCTTAAAAGAACAGATTATTCAAGCCCTATTTCTGACAGCTGAGTTAAAAAAAAAAGAAAAGAAAACAAAGCAAACAAAAAACAATCCCCCAACCCAGGCATGAAAGTGCAGTTTCTTTCTATAGCAATAAGCAAATTTTTTAAAAATAAGATGTCCTTATTATTCCTTCTTCCTGATGTTAATAGTAAATGCTGAAATATTCTATGTAAGTGATTGTTGGGCTGGAAAAAGAAAGAAACTCTAATGCAAGTATTTATACCTTCAGCAATGAAAACAAGATATTATTGTCTTGCCTGACCTTTCCTAAGTATGGGGATATAGCATTTTACACAATAGTTTCTTGGTTCATGCTTCAATTACTGACCTTTACTGTGTAGAAAATTAATGCAATTTTCATTGTAATCCATCCGTACAAATAAGGTTCTCATGGAAGGATTCCACATATGGAATCTAATACAAATAGGAAATGTCAGCTGATTGCTGTTGGCTGAACTTAGCCGATATCTGTTTGTTCTGGGGTCTCCAGCAAAGTATACTTGTAACAGGCAATTTCTTACTTGGGCCATCAGGTATAAGAAAGGAGCTTTCTCTCTTCAAAGTTTAGTTTGTAGGTTTAGTTTCCTCAAAGACCCCTCCTCCCCAACCCCCCAAAAAACTAGTTACCTGAAAGCTCTTTGTTATAACTGAAAGCACACAAGAGAAAAGACGGCAAAATTGTGAAGTCTACTTTGGTTTCTAATACAGGTCACTAGCACATACTCTTAACAATGAGGAGAAGCAAGAGGCTACAATGATGTCATTTTACAACAATCCCTGTTCCCAACAATAAAAGGATGACAGACCCCAGGCTGTATCCTGGACTGTGCATTGGAGACAGGCAGAATATGGGAATGCATTTGTCTCCTGAGGAAGTTGTGCCAAGGGGCCCAGGCGTGCTTTCATCTTCCACGGCTGACCATGACGGTATTTGGTGGGAAGAGGAGCTGGTAATTAAGGAGTGTCATTTTCAAGATGGATAGTTTAGGTAGAAACGAGTTTCTCTCCTCTTCTGGTTTTGAGCTAAACGGCTGTGTGTTTATAATTTGTAAACAGTTCATCTCTCATCGGCTGTGTTACGATTCCCAGAAGCCTGGTCTGTCATGTCTAACATGCAACAGAAGCCAGAAGGGCTCAGTGGGCAAGACCTTTGATATAGGACACTATGGACGGGAGTTTCCCAGTGATTGTGTGTCCAGGGCTATGACGAGCCCAACACTGTGGAGGCTGCTATACAAGCAAGAGAAATTATGTATTGTAATACATATGTGGATGTGTGCTCAAACAGTTTTAAAGTTGCTATTATTTTACTCGGCCACAAAATCCTGCTCCCTGCAAATCTCTTAGAGAATTGAGAGTGGAAAGATATAAACATGGGCTGAAAAGTGTGCCTGTTGGTTTGTCGTACTGTGGTGGCTTGCGTGTTACTGTGATGCTGGAAGTTATGCCACTGGTATTTCAAATACCAGCAGGGTCACCCATGGTGGATAGGTTGCAGTGGCGCTTCCAGACTAACACTGACTAGGGGGACAGGCCTGGCTATCTACTTCCAAAATTTAGCTGATGAAAATATTATGGATCTCAACAGAATATTGTCTGGTTCTCTTTCTTTAGACATGATATCAAAAGGGATCAATTGTGGGGTAAGGAAATCATGTTTGGTAAAGTAGAGGGCCAGTGGGGGCAAGGGAGACCCTCAGAGAGAGATGCATTGGTGCAACTTCCATGTGGATGGACTCAAACATGTTGGCGATCATGAGGAAGCTGAAGGACCAGGCAACACTTTGTTCTGTTATACATAAGGTCACTATGAGTCAGACTCAGGTATCTCTATGTGTCTAATACAATGTGGATGTGTGCTCAAGAAATTTTGAAGTTGCTATTATTTTACTTAGCCACAAAATCCCTCTACCTTACTCTTATAGAAGTGAGAGTGAAAAGATATGGGCAAGGACTGAAAAGTGTGCCTGTCTCCTCTAACAATAGAAGGATTATGATAAGCAGAAAAGGCATACACAGAAGTCAAAAGTTTATTGTAGACTTATGCTTCCAGAAGACTTCATAGAAATACAAAGTTGAGGAAGCAAAACTACCATGGTTATACTCTGGCTATTAAAAGGTCCCGTTTAAATACTCAGATAAAACCATTATAAGAAAGAAACTGTTCTAGAGGAAATAAGGGCAGCCTAGCGCCAACCTCAGGCGTTAACCTGGGGCAGGTTGACGAAACTGGTGTGTTTGCAGCCATGTTTGGATGATGGCAACAGTTTCAAGGCTCATCTCTGTAGATTCTATGGAACCTACTCTTCACTCAGTTCTCCTTTCCCAGAAAGGCTTGAAGCACAGCCCTAATGTCTCTACCTCCAGACCCCCAGGCAGCCCTTGGGGCATCTCAGAAGACTGGACCTTGAAAACCACTGGCCCAGACGTTATGGCCTGATGTTGTTGCTCTCCAGTGACCAAACAGCACTTTTTCCTTTATTGCCTTCTTGGTGGATGCTTTCCTTTACCAGACGGGTAAAGGCACATCATTACAAGGACCCCTAAAGGGCGAGTGGTGTCCTCTTCCACAGAGGGCTCATATACACAGGCTTGGCCAAACAGAAAGAAGCTTTCCTCACTTGTAAGCATTGATTTATAAAAACTGAGAATTTTGTCACATTCAGTTGAAAATAGTTACATTAATACGTGTGATTTTCTTTGGTAAAACATTCCATCAAGCACTTTTGTTTGTTGCTGTTAGTTGTCATTGAGTCTATTCCAGCTCATGGCAACCCCCTGTGTGCAGAGCAGAATTGCTCCATAGGATTTTCCAGGCTGTGCCTTTTCAGGAGGAGATCACCAGGTCTGTCTTCCGAGGCACTCTGAGCGTGTTCAAACTGTCAACCTCCTGGCTAGTAGTCAAGCACTTAACCATTTGTGTATCCAGAGACTCCTATCAAGCACTATATTCAATAAGCTGTATCAATTAGAAGAAGAAGTACAAGCAGAATGCTCCTTAGAAGCAAGCATGACAAGACTATGTCTCACATCCATTGGATATGTTATCAGGAGTGATCAGTCCCTGGAGAAAGATATCATGTTCGGTAAAGTAGACAGTCAGTGAAAAAGAAGATCCTTAATGAGATGGACTGACACAGTGGGTGCAAAAATGGGCTGAAGCATAACAACGATTGTGAGGACGGCACAGGACTGGGCAGTGTTTCATTCTGTTGTACATATGGTCGCTATGAATTGGAACCGACTCAACTGCACCTAACAACATACCACCGAGAAGCTACTAACAGCAGTTTTTAAAGAAGAAAGTTGCATCTGTGTGACCTGTGTTCTGAAAAAAAAGGTATTGATTCCCTTTTTTAAAATATTATACTTGGTTTTATTATTTTGCTATTAATGACCATCTTAGCACAACAAATAAGACTTTTGTTTATAATCCACCCAAGTTGTTTCAAATGGGCAAAACCATCTGGTGCAGTCAGTTAACTGTGAAGTTGTTTGTTTCATGGAGCCACTATCTTTGAATTCATTTCTGTTCGTGGGCACTTCCATATTGGATAAAAACTCGAAACCAACCTGTTGCCGTCAAGTTGATTCTAACTCATAGTAACCCTATAGGACAGAGTAGAACTGCCCCATCTGTTTCCAAGGCTATAATCTTTGTGGAAGCAGACTGCCACATTGTTCTCCTGTGGAGCAACTGGTGGGTTCAAGCTGCCGACCTTTTGGTTAGCAGTAGAGTACTTAACCACTGCACCACCAGGGATCTTTTATTGGATATTTACTGTCATGGATTGACTTGTGGCCCCCCAAAATATGTGTCAACTTGGTTAGGCCATGATTCCCAGTATTGTGTGGTTGTCCTCCATTTTGTAATTGTAATTTTATGTTAAAGAGGATTATGGTGGGTTTGTAACACCCTTACTGAGCTCGCATCCCTGATCCAATGTAAAGGAATTTCCCTGGAGTGTGGCCTGCACTACCTTTTATTTTACAAGGGATAAAAGGAAAGGGAAGCCAGAGGAGAGTGGGGACCTCATACTATCAAGAAAACAGTGCCGGGAGCAGAGCTCATCCTTTGGACCTAGGGTTCCTGCGCAGAGAAGCTCCTAGTCCAGGGGAAGATTGATGACAAGGACCTTCCTCCAGAGCAGACAGAGAAAGCTTTTCCCTGGAGCTGACACCCTGAATTTGGACTTCTAGCCTACTAGACTGTGAGAAAATAAATTTCTCTTTGTTAAAGCCATCCACTTGTGGTATTTCTGTTGTAGCAGTACTAGATAACCAAGGTACTTACCCTTAAAGTTGCCCTTTTCACCCTTTCCTTTCCCACAAGCCTCCTATATCCTACCATCACAAACCCCACAAACCCACAGGTTTTAGGGGAGTGGAAGTCCATTAAGCTAGTGGCATCTCATTTGGCATTTCACTTTTTTTCAATTTATTCCAGAAGCTTTGTCTGAAAGCTTAATGACAACAAAAGCAGCAGATTTGAGAGATTCTCCCAGGAGAAGGAAAAAGGACAGATGTACACAGACATATAGCTGAAATCACTGCCAGCAACAGCTGGGGAAATGACAGGCTCTGAAGTGGGTGACCAACCCCACTGAGTGCAGACACCAACCTAAAGTAACAGCAGTTTCACTTGATTTATGTTTGACTTCCTAGTGTACCTTTCATCTACGAAAGGGAAGGCTAACCTTGGCTTGTGTCAACTGAAAGGCCTTCTATAGGTACGCTTCTTACAATCTTTCAATCATTCCTTATGTTTTACCCTCTTTCAGTCTCATTTTTAAAAAATCTTATAAAGAGATGTCTTTTTTTTTGCAGATTTTTTATAATTGATGTAATTAAATGAAGTTTACATTTCAAGTTAGTCTCCCATACAGAATTTTTTTTTAACATACATTGTTAGGAGACCCCAACCACTCACCCCATTCTGTGAGAGCACACTCCTCCCCTCAGCCCCTGATTCCCCATGAACATTCAACCAGCTCCTAACTCTCTCTGCCTTCCTGTCTCACCTCTGGACAGAAGCCACCCCTTTGGTCTCTTATATCTACTTGTCTAAGAGGCACATTCTTCACAAGTATCACTTTATGTCCCACAGTCCAGTCCAATCCCTGTCTGAAGAGTTGGCCTCAGAAATTGTTTTAGTTCTGGGGTGATGGAGAGACCAGGGTCCATTCTTTCTGGGGCACCTCCAGTCTTAGTGAGACCATTAAGTCTGGTCTTCTTACTTGTATTTGAGTTCTGCATCCCATCATTCTACTGCTCCATCAGGGATCCTCTGTTGTGTTCCCTGTCAGGACGTTCATTGGTGGTAGCCAGGCACCATCTAGTTCTGGTCTCAGGCTGATGGAGTCTCTGGTTTATGTGGCCTATTCTGTCTCTTGGGCCAATACTTTCCTTGTGTCTTTGGTGTTCTTCGTTCTCCTTTACTCCAAGTTGTTGGGACCAATTGATGCATCTTAGATGGCCACTTGCAAGCTTTTAAGACCCCAGATGCCACTCACCAAAGTAGGATGCAGAACATTTTCTTAATAAG